GCGAGTATGTTCCCCCGCTCTAAGCGGACCCTTACCGGGCTATTCCTCACGTGAGCTGAATTTTCCGCTCTAGGCGGACCCCACTTACCTCGGGGCTTACCGGTACTGTTCGCGCAGGGCTCCAACCAGGAACGGGACTGCAGTTCCCGGGTTTCAGCACCACTTGTCGCGTGCGGCCTTGCCAGCAAGAACAACGCGACCACTGGTTGGTTTTCTGCGCAGCTCTTTATTGTTCTCTTGCATCCATCTTCTCTCCGTCTTCTCTCTCCCAAGGCCCCTGCTCTTAGTTTATAAGTCTCAGGGCTTCCAACCATAGGGTGCCACGTATGCACTGTCCATTGGTCCAGGTCTGTGGAAGCAATGCCTTAGCCCAAGCCTTGGCCATATATGGAGTTGTTTACTCCAGAAGCACTCACCCCTGGAGGGGGTGGAAGGCAGAAACCGGCGCCATCCTAGGGCATGGCTACACGCAGCTCCCTACACCCTTTCGCCATATTCTACTTGCACCATGTGGTATTTAAAATCTGTCATTTTTGCCTAACCCTAGAAAAGCTATTTAACTACTAAGAAGAATAATTTAAGAAATGCACATCTTTTATGCATAAAAATACGTAAACCTGGCATGAGGAGGCTTTCCCATCACTGGGACACCCACAACTTAAAGAAAAAAAGGGTTCATTTAGTCATGGTTTTGGGTTTTCTGTCCACAGTCAACTGGCTCCGTGGTGGAAGTGGCATGGCAGAAGGGCCTGACTGAGGAAAATTGCTCAAGTAGTACACCCAGGAAAGAAAGAGAGGAGAGGGAGCTCGGGAGGAAGGCACCGTAACCCTGCAAAGGTGCGCCCCCACGACACACTTCTGCCAAAGACACCCCACGTCCCCAGAGAACATCTACTTAGGAGCTCATCAGTGGATCAGCCGGCAGGTGAGAGTGGCATCCGCATGACCTGGTCACCTTCCAAAAGCCCTGCCCCTGAACACCTGTGGCTTCTGCAGAACATTCTAGACCTGGGTCATAGCAACCATAGAATTAATAGTGCAATCAGCGCATATCGAATTTGAGTAAAATGTCACAACACAAAACATTTTCAGAGAGATGTATTTTAATGATGAAAGAGCATTAGTAAAATTTTCTGTGCATATCTGTTATAAAATTAAACATGTACTGTCCAATATATATGGCTAAACTGCTAAGAGCACAATGTATCATAAAAGGTAGAATTCAAAGGCTCTTAAAAAGGCAAAATAAAAGTTTCTCTTGGAAAATGGCACTTAGTAGTAAATGGGATCAGAGTCACATTGACTAGAGTAGGCAAGTACATTTTTAAAGACATCTTAATATAAACCTTACTGCTAATATATATTTCTTTTGAAAACAATACATAGAAAAGAGAAAAAACTTCAAAGGCACAATGGCTTTCTTCTCTGGCATGTTAAAGAACAAGTCTGGCTTATGTTTGTTAAGTTACAAGACCTTACCTGACAAATTCCCAGAAAGTACAGAGTATTTTGTATTGAAAAGGACATACATATAACAAGGCACAAATCTGATTCCAGAACTAATATTGGTCCTTAACAAAAGTTTACTTAGGGTTATTTCAACATATTAGCATGACAAATTCCCTTTAAGAAGAATGTAAACCAATGCCAGCCATAAAAAAAAATAGCCATTTAGCTGAGATTAATCTTTTGGAGGCAAACAAACAAAATGCACCCCCCCCCACCCCCATGCACTGCAATGGGACAACAGCCCTCCATGGGCCTCTAATGCTTGCTCTTTTTTTTTTTTTTTTTTTTTTTTTTCAAAAACTCAATTTACCACCTACTGGAATCCCAGCCCAGGAACCAGCCTGTGAATGTGGGTGGCTCATGGCCCTGTTTTATGATGACAATGGGAGTCCTCTTATCTCTTCCAGAAGGATCTGTCTCAAGGTACATTTTGGCTAAAAAGAGTTGCAAATATATAAATTCCATTAGTTTCAGTTAAACTAAAGTCATTATAAAGTTAAAGTTTTCTTATAAAGCTATGAATCTAATTTTCATTGCCCCCAAGTAGCAAAATATAAATAATTTCCTATTGATTTATCCCATCTGCCATAGAAAGCCCAATTATAAAGTTTCATCATTACTTGAAACATTTCAGGTTTTACAAAATTATTCTTATGGAATCATGATTGTTATACTTTTCAGTAAAAAGACCTGAGCGCCTAAAAGGACAGTAATACTCTGAAGGAGATGTGACAATATCCAGGTCATCATAGTTATCAAGGTTTTACTATTTGTATAACAAAATAAGGTTTTGAGTGAATTGAAACTTTTTAGAAATAATTGTATTCTAAATGAGGTTTTAAAAAGATGTTTCTTGTGCTCACTGTGAAATCCTTCGGTTTTAAAAGATTCCATTACTTTTTAGTTGGGAAGATGATAGGTAAGCTACCTCTTGGTTCTGATGTGTATTTTAGGGAGACAAGGATGCGGCCGCCGTAACTACCAACAGGATCTCACTTACCAGACTTGAGTGACTCTGTCTTCTCAGTTTCGTTGGCGTCTTTACCAATCCAAATAAATATCTGAAAGACGAAACATAGCACCATGTGCCGGCGTGGAAATGTCTCCATGCGCGGCCCGAAGCCAGGTGCTCTACACCCACGACTGCTTTCACCTTCACAGTCCCAGAAGTGAGGGGTCAGCCGCGGGACCCCCACCAGGTCGCTCGCTTTCCGAGTTTTCATTCCCACTGGAGATGCCTAAATTTACACCCAGCCAGTCTGCCTACAGACCGCACACTCACATCTTACGTTTACGCAGCACTTCCTGCTGTAACGTCTCGCAAAAGCCGCGGAGGGGCTGTTCCAGGGCTCCCACCCCGGGGGGTTGTGCGCAGCGGCACTGCCTGCCCTTCCTCGATGTAGGCTAGGCCAGGAGCACACCCAGGCACACGGCCCGCTTGTGGGGTCTCCGCAGTCCGTGCAGGAATCCCTGACCTTAGACAAGCGCTTTTCTCCTGCAGTGTTATACCCCATGTAACTCTGATAAAGTGCTAGAGTGTTCAGCGTGTAAATGCCAAAGTTTTAAACTAATTTAATCTGTGCTATATATTCTTTAAGTATCCTTTTTTATGTCAAATCCATAGGTTGGGGTTTTTTTCAGTACTGGGAACTAAAACAGGGCCCCTGCATGGAGCTCTATGCCCAGCCCCTTCTCAATGTTTTTATTTTAAGCTGAGTTCTTGGTACATTGTTAAATTGCCCAAGTTGCCCTTGAACTTGCGATCCTCCTGCCTCAGCCACCCTGAGCGCTGGGATTACAGGTGTTTGCCAGCATTCCCAGCACAGGATGTACATTTTAATGATGAAAAGTCCTCTTGAATTATTTTACACTTACATCACTTTAAAATCATTCATTAGCTGAACAAGTCTGGTCATACTAAGTTTCTGTGTTACTGTAATTCATCCTAGAAGTGTGGGAACACTTGTCTGAATGACATAGAATGGACCACAACTGCATAATGTAAATAAAAAGGTGACTTAAAAGATCTAAATGTAGTACGTAGAAGCTGGGACTGGATTCCCAATTCAGATTCACTCCTTGTGGACCAAAAGGCTAATGAGTAATTTAACTGAATGATTTAGCCATTAACGACAGATCTAAAATCAACAGTCTGGGTTCTGATTCTAAACTCAGGCCTAATTTTTATTCTTGTTCTATATTATTTGATTCCTAACATATTTATTTTTCTCTTTGGCTGTTGTTAGTGTACAAAAAGGTATTTTTTTTTTAAGTGACCAGCTGTGTCCTGTCAAATTACCACTGATGTTCACCTAAATTAAGACATTTATAACAGTAACATATTGAACTGTTTAGATGCAGACCTACTGTGTGCTTGTTCTGATAACCTCTCCTCAAATATCAGAAGTTTACAGTAATTTAGTCTCTCACAGAATCACACCTATTAGTGTTCACATTAATGAAATGAATGCATGAGCTCATCAGGTGGGCACGTTTTACGAATAAATGAAAAATACAACTTTTTGTTTTGGTCTAAAACTAAGCAAAGACAGTAGCTGTGCAGTTTTTTCAGCAGCAAGAAATCCATTTACCCTGCAAATGTTTCTTTTGAAACATTAAATCCTGTGGCCCATTGACTACCAGATCTGATGTCTTTCAAAGCAGGTTGTTGTTCCCACCCTCAAGCATGATGCCTTTTTCTTCCTTTCTTCTTTCTTTTTTTTTTTTTTTTTTTTTTTTGTATTTAGTACAGGGCCTACAGAGTCTCACCACACAGATCAGACCTGTAGTGATCCTCCTGTTTTCAGCCTCCTAAGCACTGGGATTATAGGCACACGCCACCACACCCAGTCTTAATCACTGTCTCAGTGCACCCTGGGTGCAAGGCCAGCAGGCACCTGGGGGATCAAACCCCAGTCCATGAGCCTACCTAAGCAGGTGCTTTAGTCCTCTGAACTATCTACCTGGCCCTTTAAGCACAGACTCTTGTCATAAACACCACACAGTCCCTACCTGTTCCCAGGCATCCAGCAGCATAACGTCATCCTCCGCTAAATCATCCTGGGTGAACTCTCCCGGAACCTCTTCAATCTGAAATAAATTCAAAGTTTCATGACCAAGCAGAACAACAGATTTTTTTTTCTAATGCACATAATATAAATGCCTGATGTTATTGGAAGGCAGTAAAAAGCTTTGGTAGCCATTTCTTTCTTCTTTCCAAGTAGTAAGTGTTTAATCAAGTGTCACAAATTGAAGGTACAGTTTGCTCAGAACAATATTCAACATAAACATTGCAACTGGATGCCTTTGAGAAGGATCTGAGCAGTCAGCATAGTCCTGCTGCCAGCAGTTCCTTGTGGCAAGAGGCTTTACACAGCCCATCACCTGCTGCATCTCCAAAGAGGCTTGAGTTTCTGATCTAGGTACTTAATTCCTTTGTTGTGTAGGTCGTGAGAATTTTAATACAAGTCAACAGATCTGGACATCTAGTACATCCACAATTTTCAATAAGGTGATATTATAACAATATTTTACATGCAAATATTCACTTTTATTTTTGCGGGTTTAAACTGTGTCTTCTGTAATTCCCAGGCAATCACCTTTGGTTAGTTCATTCCACCCAATATCAATGAGCATGTATTGAAGTCCAACATTACTATGGGGATTTATGCATGACTTTGCCCCTTGTGCTCAGGAACGTTCCCAGTTCTTCCCTCCCGTCCCCCGCTCCCAGGGGACTGCAGTACAGTCAGACAGGTGCAGCTGGCCATGGCCTTGGCCATATCATGCTAGCAGTAACAACTAAGCAAGGACCTTCTGGGGTTCCAGGGCTTTGTCATAGACAAACTGGCATAAGTCCAGCCAGAAGCTCACAGGAGAACCAGGAAGAGTCGAGGCTAGATTAACCTCATCCTGGGGAACCACAAAATTTCTAGGTATAGTTCATGTTTGTTGTACCCTAACAAGATTCTGAGATCCTTACACAAAATAATACTAATACTAATAACTAAATATTGACAAAGTGCAAAGAAATTGTTTAAAATATCTTTCTATAAGAAATTTTCCAATCACATAAGGAAGAAATTAGATAATCCTGAGAATGAAACAGTAATGCTAGTAAACACCCCAATCTATGGACACATGAAAGCAGTCCTAAAAGGGAAGTTTAATGTTGTGAATGCCCACATCAGAAAAACAGAGTAAGCCCAAATAAATAACCTCAAGGTACTAGAAAAACAAGAATAATCCAAGTCCAATACTGGTACAAGAAGGAAATTATCCCCAGCCTTCCAAGGTCAATTAAGACTCAGGACATATGAGAAGTTGTACTGTAATGTCATGTAACTCAGTAGTGTCCCAAATTTTCTGATCAAGGAGATTATGGAGCCAAAGAGGAAAGTGATCGATGATGTAGAGTATGCCTAAGGAGAGTCACATGGAGAGAAAACATTCTCTCAGGCTTTCACAGAGAGCACATTGGCCAAGCAATGGCCGTGACTCATCCACATGGCTGACACTGACAAAGGTTCTACAATCTGAGGTCCAGGATCTCAGGATAAATCCTGAGGGGATTTCACTGACCTTATCAGACCCAAAAGCTACAACTCTTGCTGCATAGTTCCTGCTTTACCTTGGTCTTAACCATCCAGTAGAAAAGTATAAAAATAAAGTATAAGAAGTAAAGCCATGCTGTTATGTTGAGCTGTAGGGGACTCAGGTCAACAATTTCTGACATTGCCAGTGAAGCAGAAAACCCAATACTATTATGGACTACTGAATTCTTTTAGAATATTTTGCTGAGTTTACACACCTATAATATTTAAATGATGGAACTTAACAAAAAAAAAGGGGATGAATGTCCATTTATATCTGTGTATTCAAAGTGGTTAGGATATAGATATATAGTTACATTCTCTTAATGAATAGAGGGATTTGTTCTAATGGTGTTTGTAAACAGGATATCAAGTCTGCATCTTGTACAGCAATTAACCACTAGGAAGAATGTATGTAATGTGTTAATTATTGAAACTGTCCTACCAATTTGGTTTGAAACTCTCTCGTTGCTATTTGTTTCTCAATAAAATTATGGAAAAAATAATAAATAAATAATAATAAAAATAAATAAAAGCTAAAAAAAGAAATTATAAAGGTCAGAGCAGAAATTAATGAAATTGAGACTTAAAAACAAATAGAAACAATCAATGAATCAAAGACTTACTTCCTCAAAAGAATAAACAAGACAGAAAAACTCTTGACTAATATTACCTAAAAAAGGAAATAAAATACCCAAATCAACGCAATTAGAAATGAAAACAAGGGAAATTACAATAAACACTTCTGAAATCCAGATTATTAGTAACTACTTTGAAAACTGAGCTCCAAATACTGGAGAATTCAGAAGAAATAGAAACTTATAAATTACAAAAACTGACTCAAGATAATGTTTAAAAAAAAACTTGAATAAACCAATAGTAGTTAATAAAATTGAAGTAGTGGTTAAAAAAAAATACCAGCTAAGAAAAGTCCAGGACCTAAAGGATTCACACTTGATTCTACAAGAAATTCATGAAAGATATAACATTAATTCTCTTCAAACTCTTTCATGAAATTGAAAAGGAAAATATACCCCCAAAGTCATCCCTGGAAGCTAGCATTACCCTGCCCAAACCAGATAAGAACCCAACCAAAACAGAAAACTACAGGTCAATCTCTTTAATAAACATAGATGTAAAATTCCTCAACAAGATACTGGCAAACAGAATGCAAAATATCATCAAAAAGATTACACATTATGACCAAGTGGGCTTCATTCCAGGAATGCAGAGATGGTTCAATATATGCAAATAAATAAATGTAATACATAACATAAACAGAAGTAAGGACAAAAAGAACACATGATCATCTCAATGCAGAAAAGACTGTTGACAAAATGTAACATCCACTCATCATTAAAAACCTTGAAGAAAACAGATATAGAAAGAAGACCTGGTCTCAATCTGAAAATAAAACTACTTATGACAAACCTACTGCCTAATCCCAGTGCTTGGGAGGCTGAAAACAGGAGGATCACTATGAATCTGATCTGTGTAGTGAGACCCTGTAGACCCTGTACTAAAATACATTTTAAAAAGAGAGAAAGAAATAAAAGGGATGTGTATATGAAATGAAGGTGTCAGGTTATCTTTATTTGCAGATGACATGATCCCCTGTAGTAGAACCAAAAAATCCTACCACATACCCCTAGAATTAATAATCAATTAATGTAGCAGGATACAAAAACAACACAAAAATCCATAGCATTTCTATATATCAATAGTGAACTCACTTGAGAAAGAAATTTAGAAAACTGTACTATTCACAGTAGTATCAAAAAAAATTAAACACATAGAAATTAACCTAACTAAACAAGTGGAAGTGCAGTGCTCTGAAAAGGGAGAGTGAAGAAAATGGAAAGGCAGCCACTACTCTGGAATAGGCAGAACCAATACTGTCAGAATGGCCATACTTTCTAAACTGATATACAGGTTAATGCAATTCCAATCAAAATACCTACAGCATTCCTCACAGAACTGCAGAAAACAATCCTAAAATTCATTTGGAACCAAAAGAAAATGAAGAGATGAAAGAGTAGGAAGCAAGGGAAAGGGAAGAGGATGAGAAAAAGAATTTGCAGGTCAATGCCATACATACAAGGAAGGTAATCATTATGTGCTATAAACATATACTAATAAAAATTGAAAAAAAAAATCTACCCTGAAAAACATTTACCAATCACATCATGGTTTTAAAAGTCAAAACTCTTTTTTTTGTTGTTGTTGACAATGCAAAACACATTTATGTACATCCCTCATACAAACACACCAATGCTAGCATTCCGTGAAGCATGCTGGTTTTCAGGAAAAAAAAAAAAAAATCCTATAAGAGAGTGAAATAGCAGCTCCAAAAGATAGCTTTTTTCTTTTCTTAAGGACAACCAAAAAGATTTTTTTCTTTTTTTTTTAAACTACTAGAGAAATATCACTAATACATACAGATATAAAAGCAGCATAGAAACATACAGGTTTCTCACCAACTAGGAATAAAGAGGCTAAATGTGGGCGTATGATAAACTACAAAGCATCTTCACATTTGTCCAACACATTTACAAGAAAAACACCATTGGGAAACCTCACAGGACAGAAGTGTTTTCACACCAAGAGAACTACGAGTTTTAATTAAAAATCCAAACAGGGTGGGGTTGAAAAATTTTGGAAAGGGGCTAAAGCTGGAGCCACCATTATTTTTTAAAATTATTTTTCAATATAAAATGAATGAGCTGGAATAGACCCAATGTCTTACTCTGTGGAACCTTGCAAAAGTGAAGAAATGTTGAAGGGTTATTTAGGGCAGCTGGCTGGTGTTGAAGCCGCCAGAAGGCTAATTAACTGCAGGCCAAGTCTCTTACTTCTGTGTGTATGTGCATAGATAGATAGATAGATAGATAGATAGATAGATAGATAGATAGATGCCTTTGTATTATGGCATTTTTTTTCTTGCTGTATTCATACATCCCACTGCAAATCATCTTTCATTTTTCATTCTGTTGACCTGGATATTATAATTTCTTTTCAGAAACAGGAAAAAAACTGAACATCTGTGTCTCCTAAAAGTCAAAACTCTTAATATCACTTACTTTGTGTCAAGCACTATGCTAGTCTTTCTATGTAATAATTAATTTAATGTTCATGAGCACATGAAGTAGTGAGTAAATTTTCCTCAGTTTACAGATCAGAAAACTACAGCACAGAGACAATAAGGAACCAGCCAGAAGTGACACAGCCAATCATCACCAGGGAGGTGGCATCTCATAGGTAAACTGGTTCTAAAAGCTGTGCTTTTGAACATTAGCTCTGTGGCCTTGTATCACTGCCTGTCTGAAGCCTGTTTTCTGATGGTGATCATAAAATCAACTCTTGTCACCAGTAGTCCTTTTCCTTAACCTGTAAAGGAGGATGAAATGATTCCAAACCCAATCAATAAAATGAGTAGGTTCAAAGGAAATGTATTTTTCTTGTAAAGACCAACAAGTCTGTGACAAAACACAAACACACAATCAACTCACAGATTTTTTTTAAAACCTCCCTGGGAACAAAGCCTCAATGCTTATTTTTGAAAACATATCTTCCTTGAAAACAAACATGACTTTAATCACTCAATCACCTTTGTCAATTTACTTTTAATAAATAACAAAAGGTAGAAAAAAGAAAACAAACATGAATTTATAGCAATATTAGCAGATAATTCCAATAAAAAATTATAGGCACATATGCCAGAAATAGTTGTTTAGAAGTAATATACAACTAATAGTCAAAATGATAAAATGGTAGATTTGTCTTATAACAACTTTATAAAATATAGCAAGTACAGAGATTCTGTACAAAGTAGACAACAGACTATGGTACTTAACAATACAGTATCGCTATCTACTGTAAATTCAGTCTAATTTTTACACCAAACTAGTTGTAAATGTCAAATGTGATTTGTACATGGACAGTTTCATCTTCAAAGTTTATTTCTTTTATTTCTAGCATTAAATGTGCCTGAGAAAGTATTACCATAATATTTTGCATTCTATCAATATGGAGAAAAATTTTACTCCCCTGAAAAGTAAAATGTTAAACTTACAATTAGGTGAGAGGTGACCTAACAGAAGGTGCTTACCAGAAAGTACCTAGTGATTACGCTAGCCAACCTAATCATTTGTAATTCACACCGCAGCTGCCAAATGCTGACGCTGACATACAGTAGCTACTGGAAGCGCTCCTTGACTTACGTGCTCCTCTTCAATCTCCCTAATGCTCTCACACCCACTGCCCCACTGACCCTTAGACTACACTACAGAGACCAAAGATTATCTCACTGTGGTTTGCCACGGCCAGCTGAGCCCAGTGACCCCAGCTCCCCATGGCTGCAGAGGGTCAGAGCCGACGTGAAGTGCCTCTCTGTGTTACTAGGTCCTGTCCCACTGCTCCTTTTCTCAATTTTGGTTTTTATCAGCACAGGTTCCCAGTAGGATGACCACATTCATGTCGGGAGCCGGGATATGGATGCAACACCCCTTGATTCTTTCCTCATCTACTTCCCTTCTCCTGTTGCCCCTCACCTCACCCCTTGGTACCCTTCCCTTGTGCGCTGCTTAAGACACTCACAATAAACCTTCCGGTTTTGTTGGAGCAGCCGTAAAGCCGGGGCGGATGGTCTTCGGCCTGTGTCTCCAGCAGTGGGGAGGTCTGGTAGTCTCCCTTCCCTCCGAGGGAGGTCCAAAACTCCTCTGCGGAAAGCACAGAGTTATTCAGCGCATATTTGGGAGTACATGTTTGGTATTGTTTTCTAATGACAAAAGTATTTTTTTTGACAAAAGTATTATCTTGCTTTAGCTTTAACAAGTTAGTTAAATGTCCTAGGTACCATCACTCACTCTCACAACCAATGCAGGGATGCTTAACCCTCTTTAATCATCCAGAAATAACCGTTTGTGAAGAAAGGCAAATAGCAAGCACAGCCACGTCGGTTCTGGCCCCACAGCACACACCTGGCTCCTCTCCTTCCTGAATCCTCACGGGGCTGCACCCGAGGACACTTGCCACATACTCTGCTCCCTTCTCCTCCTCCTGGCTGGAGCCTTTTCCTACCCAGATGTAGCCGCTGCTTCTGGGCAGTTTCAGGACAAAAGCATCATTGGAATTCAATGAATTTGCATCAACATCGACCTACAGCATAAAGAAACATAACACAATCACTGAAATTCATTGCTGCTCCTTCCTCAATAAATGTTTCGCAGGTGCTGTGACTGTAACCAACACACATAGCCTCCACTCTGCCCTAGAAAATTAAGCCACGCTGGGCAAGTGCTATGGCATGAGAAAGGATGGAAGACAAGCAATTTGGTCACTGTCACCTTACCATCCAGCCACTCTCAGGCAGCAGCACACTGCAGTGATGAGAAGTGGCTGTTGGTGCTCGCAAGACATGGCACAGGGGTGGTGATACTCGGGGGAGTTGTGCTGGGTCCTCTCCCTACAGGGGTAAAGCCTCCTGGACCACACTCACAGGAACCTCTGACTTCTAGCCCATGTGCCCCCTGATTGGTGCGGAGGGAAGTTAGTAGGACAACAAGACGACAGTGAGTTCAGTGTCCACACTGGTGGGGATTGGGAGGGAGGTCTAGAGCCTTGTAAGCAGAGAGAGAAATAGAAGATACAAAAGAGGAAGAAGGGATATCCTTTTCCATTGGGAAGAGGGCCAAGGGCATGAGAAAATGTGGAGCCAGAGCTTTTACGAATGGGATAAGACCAGGGGAGGAACAGAAAAGAGGAGAATGTGAACACAGGGCTAAGCTAGACAGATGCCACCAGACTGTGACCGGTAGTCTGTGACCCTCCTGCTCTCTGCATGATCACACCTGTCTTCACTGCCAACACTGAATCAGAATCACCCCTGGGGAGAGGACAGCTAGAGGCCTGAGGCCGGACATGTGCGTGAAGGGTGTGAAGGAGGCAGAGGGCTCGCAGATGTGGCCATTGGCCTGCAGCAGCACAAGGTGTGCACCTTGGAGTAGGTAAAGGAGCCCTCGAACAGGATGGGGTTGTCGGAGACCACGGCACTGCACCGATCTCTGAGGAGCCACACTTATCCCTCGCCAATAGCAGGATTTATTAGAGGGAATTCATTCATGGGAGAGTGAGATAAAACAGGTCTAAGAAAATATTATCGGGAGAGAGGTCAGAGGGAAGGTGAGCGAGGCAATGGCAGAAACCGTCAAAAGAGAAAACAGCAAGTGTTACGTCCATGAGCCAACTCCCTGTGATAAACGGAATCATTGTGTACTGCAACCATGGACTAATAAAAATTTTCTCAAAAGAAAAAATTCAAAAGAAAGTATTAGGGGCCAGGGAGATGGCTCAGTGGAATAAGCGCTTCCCTGGCAAGCGCAAGGGCTCGGGTTCAATCCCTGGTTCAACAAGAAAAAAAAAAGAAGAAGAAGAAAGCATTAGCCTTCCAGGAAGGAAAGACAGAGCTGTATAAATCATTAGCCTGCCAGGAGGGGAAGCCAGAGTGCTGTATAAAGTAATCTTCACTAGTACTTGCAGAAGCTGGAAACCTGAGAGATGGCTTCAGAGGTTGCTAGGAAACACGGTGACTGTGCATGTGACAGATAGTGTCTGCTAAAGAACAGCATCTGAGGCAGACAGCAGGAGGGTCACAGACTACCAGTCACAATCTGGTGGCATCTGTCATCTGAAACACCTGTGAGGACCCACAATGGAGTCTTAATTTCATAGCTTTTTTAAAAACATTCATCATAATTGAACAAATAGGAATCTGATTTTCTCTTATGGACAAGTACACTCACCAGCACTAACACCACATACTGAAGGAGGCAGAGGTGAAAGGAACCAAGACAGAGGCGTGGGGTGCTCAGCGCTTAGAGGCCAAGCAGGAGAAGCCAGCAACACAGCGTCCAGCAGAAAGGTGACAAATCTGGAAGAAATCACTCACGGGAGTGTGCTCTGTGCATGCGGAGGGGGAAGGGCGCTCAGCAGTGAGGGTGGGCTGCCAGACCTCAGCAGGAGATGAAGAAAGCCAGGGATCAGAGGGGCAACTGGGTGTGGAGAGGTGGGCTGGCAGGCCAGATAAAAGCCAGGCCACAGAGCCAGGGGAGGGAGCCAGCGACGGGCAGTGAGGGAGCACAGCGTGCTGGTGGAGCTCTGATCTCAAGAAGCGTGGAAAAACGATGACTTTTCAAAGACATCCATGAATTTCAACATGAAAGGCTGAGGATATAGGAATAAATGAGGGATGGAGAAGAGAAAGGAGACTGCTGCCTGCACTCAGGATGAATGCATGGAGATCAATCTAGAACAGTACCCGGGAAAGCAGGAAAGGAAGGAATCCTGGACACAGGTTGACAGTGGGAGGAATTTGGCCTTAGACAGGACCTGTAGTTTTATTCTGTGTGCTAATCATTCACTCAATTATTTATTAACATGTCACTTTATAAAAATATATTATTTACTACTAACTTATAAATGTTTTGATATTAATAAAATACTTGATTCTTTGGCTGGGGAGATGGCTCAGTGGAATCAGCGCTTCCCTGGCAGCGCAAGGGCCTGAGTTCAATCCCCGGTTCTACCAAAAAAAAAAAAAAAAAAAAAACTTGATTCTTTATATGTAAACTGCTAAATATTCATTTTTAATTTTTTTAAATATAAATACAATTTTACATTTCATTCAATGAGACAGGAAAAAGTAGAGACCAATCAGCGGAATTGCAGGAGAGGCGATTACGCTAGCATGCACAAGCCCGCGTGTCTTCACTGCCGACACTGGATCAGAGTCACCCCTGGGGAGAGGACAGCCAGAGGCCTGAGGCCCGACATGTGCATGGAGGGTGTGAAGGAGGCAGAGGGCTCACAGACGTGGCCATGGGCCTGCAGGGCTGCAAGTTATGCCCCTGGGAGGGCGCAAAGAGCCATCAAACAGGAGACAGTTCTCGGAGAGCGAGGTGCTGCACAGATCTCTGAGGAGCCACAGTTATTCCTCACCAATGGCAGGATTTATTAGAGGACTGTGCGAGTGTGAGGTAAACCAGGTCAGAGAAAATATTATCGGGAGAGAGGCCAGAGGGAAGGTGAGCGAGACAATGGCTGAAACCATCAAAACAGAAAAAAGCAGCTCCAGAGATGATGGCACGGAGGGCTGGCAGGGCTGGGAGGGTCAAATAAAAAGCACAGAAGCCAAGAGGCCGGGGTGGGCAAGGACAGTGCCCTGTCCAGCCCCATCCGGGGCCCTGGAAAGTGGGCACTGGGAGAAACAACTTCTGCTGGAGAGGGCCGTCAGGAAGCCACGTCCTCAGAGTCAACGCGCAGCTAGAAGGCAGCGGGAGGACACAGGCTGACCGGGTCTGGAAGGATCTGCGGAATGGCATGTATGGGGGCAAGGGTAGGGACAGAGCTCCTGCCTGGGGATGGGCAGGGCAGGCTGGGGGAGACTTGGGAGATCTGGGCTTCCATGGTGACACTGGCAACAAGATACCTATCAGACATGACTGGATTGGTTCAGGGTCACACTTATATGTGCAGGGACCACCCCTCATCAGTCCCTGAGTGCTCTGTCACCTGCAGATCACCACAGGCCCCTACTCCAGGCTTCTCAAGACAGGGCAAGGGCTGCCTTGTGCCTGGATTGAGAGAATGTTTTCTTAAGGGCACCTTGAATTCACTGGTTTGGGTTCCAAGACAAAAACTGTCAGAAGCTGGTACCAGGCCATGTTTTATTGGCCGGGTGGCAGGGACACTACCTCCACAATTCTGGTGACAGACGCCAGGTTTTTGCGGACTTGAAAGAGGCGCACAGGTGGCGCTGGGGCCTGGCCTCCCTTCTTTGATGTCCCATTCTTGTAGACAATGAGAGGCTTGTCTTTGAACAAACTCAGCAGATGAGCAGGCTCTTTACCTTGGGAGACCCGAACCTGGGAGGAGTGGGGAGAGGAATGAAAGAAGGGTCATACAGCGTGCCAGGAGAGAAGGCTGTGTTTCTAAACATGTTCTTAATTTTCCTTTTTGAAAAAGAGACACACCAAAAGCCAGGAACAGGAGGGAGGATGATTAATAAAAAATATAGGTGAGGGCTGGGGAGATAGCTCAATGGTCTAAGCATCTGCCTGGCAAGTACAAAAACCCAGGTTCAATCCTGGTACTGCATGCTGTTTCAGGAGAGGTGATGCACACCTGCAATCCCAGCATTGGGGAGGCTGGGCCAGGATGATCACTCTGAGTCTGAGCTATGTAGTGGGACCCTGTGCCAAACACATAAATAAAAGACAGATAGATACATAGATATATAGATATGTTCGTATCTATATATATGAAATAATCAACCACATTCACCTAGAAATCTTTCGTCGCTTCAGACGCAGTGTCCCTACAATGCTTTCTGCCTTCAGAAAACATGAAGATCTAAGTTTACTATCTGCATCTCCAGAGGGGAAAGATGAAAAAAAAAAACAAAAGCTGACCTCCACAACTTTTTTTTTTTTTTAATGGAAGGGTCTACAAGGTGTTTAGGGTCTCACTACTAGATCAGACTCATAGTGATCCGCCTGTTTATAGCCTCCCAAGAGCTGGATTACAGGCGCGTGCCACTATGCCTAGTTTCAATTGCCATCTCAGCATGCCCCAGGGGTGGGGCTGGCACAGCAGGCCCAGGAATCGAACCCCTGGCCCCTGTACCTGTTTGCAGGCGCTTTAATCCACTGAGCTATTTCGCTGGCCCTCCCTGCAACTTTTTACACAAAGGACTCTCCTTTCAAGAACACTGATATTTTATAGATATTTATGGATATGCTTGATTCTCAAGTGTTTTAGAGCTGGTAAAGAAGATGTATGTTCAAATGTTTCCAAAATAAGGTGACACAAATTATATTCTCTGTCGCTCTAGGTCCACATGTATGGGATGAAACATTAAAAACTGGCAAAGAAAAAAAAAAAAAAGAATTGCATATACACCTTCCACCTTTTAGGTATAAAATGGTAATCACTAAGCATAGCTATGTTTAATATAAGCAACCTATTTTTATACGACACAAGGCCTTTTCAAGTGAAGAAATCAAAGAAAATCACTGGCAAGTTGCTTGCTTGATTCCCCTGCGAACACGCGGTACCAAAGTCATTTCCCTGTTTCTCACATAAACCTGATGCATGCTTTTACATACAGAGTTCCCACACCAGGCCCGCCCTGCTTCCTGCTTCCGGCGCCTCGCCTCTCCCGGCTGGCCACTTCCGGGGGCTGGTTGTGGGCTCCTGATGCCCTCAGCTAGCGTGGTGGGGAGAAGCATGCTTCAACCAGCAGGCGCTCAAGGAAGTGAGAGACCAAGTGTGAAAACAAGTCCTGGGGGTCTCAGAGCTATGGACCAAGGCAGTAAGGAGTATTCAAGGAACACTGTTTGCTTAGCATTCCACAGCACCTTGAGGAAACTCCAGGTGCCACACGAGGGAGGGCGGTCACTGGTCACGGCCCACGCTTCCTTGTGAAGGGCAGTCAGGGCGCAGTAGGGCCGATTAGGATGCTTTCCATGATGTAATAGCACACAGTTTAGTTTTAAGCAGTATATAAAATACTGCCATCTAGTGACTAAACTAAGAATTACCATTTCATTGTTAAATTAGGATGCAACACTTCACTGAAATTAATGGAGCATATGTCGCATATTCTACTATGAACTGCAGTAAGTAAAGCACAGTGAGTATCTTCAAGTTTTTTAATAATTTGGTAAGGAAAATTTTAAAGACCAACTAATGGCAAAGATGATGTCAGTTCTTAGCTAGAAATATTCTATTAAAGAAATTAATGTATGGGGCTGGGGAGATAACTCAGCAGCCTAAATGCCTTCCTGGCAAGTGCAAAGACCCAGGTTTGATCTCCAGAACTGCATGCTGTGCCAGACCCAGAAGCCGCTGAAACTGGGTGCGGTGGCGCACGCCTGTAATCCCAGCACTGGGGAGGCTGAGACAGGAGGATCACTACGAGTCTGAACTGTGTAGCAAGACCCTGTACCAAATAAATAAAAGGCTTTATAAAAAAGAAATTAATTTAATACTTAAGCAAGAAATAGAGTTGAGTGCATGTAAATAATTGTCTTTTTCATTTATGAATGAATCAGCTAGATAACATTAGAAAGTCAAACGCATTTTTACATTTGGGTCTAACTGGATAATGTATGTATGTACCAAGATGGAGAGAAACCAGGTGGAAAACCAAATTCAGTCCCCACATCTTATATGTTATGCTCTGAACTATCTGACTTACCTTTCTGTTTAATTATTATACTTAAAGAAGCAATTAAACATTCATAAAGATTTGAAAACAAGACTAAACAAAACCCTTGCATGTCACACTGAATCTTAGCTCACTGGACACCAGGCATAGGACACACTCTTGTGGAGGGAAAGGAGCCTCATGCAGCTGTCCCCAAAATGTCACCTCACTGGCCACATGAGCGCTGCTCTCAGTTCAAAGCCCAGAGCCCAGTAGGGAAGGCACATTCCCCTGCAGATATGAGCAGACACTTCCAAAAAACTGGCCAGAGAAAGCATGCGTGCAGACAGGATATGCCTGAGCAGCGCTGTGAGCAACACAAACTAAGGAGACAGAGACAGAGACAGGGACAGGGACAGAGACGGGGATGGGGACAGGGACAGAGACAGAGACTCAGAGATTTCAAAGTAGCTGTAGACACAAGGACCAAGCGAGTGCTACTCCTGGGTTCCTGAGAGGAGGCAGCCACCTCGGAGTGCACTGGAGATAAACGGCCCCTCTGAAGCCTGCATTTCATTTATTGGATAGGGAAGGTGCACAAGCACAGATCAGTGGGTTTCCATGTTCACTAATAGGATCCTGCCACAATAGCAGATGCTCCAGAAGTACAGGCAGAGGACCGTTCAAACTTCAGAAAAGACCAAATGTCAAATCAGGCTTTAAGGAGCCTCACAGGTGAGGCGATCAGGACCCGGCCCTCATATCCCCGGGCACTGGAGGACACTCTTTTTTTTGTTTTTTAATGCATTTGGTTGCTGCAGAGTCTCACTACCCAGCTCAGACTTGTGGTGGTCCTCCTGCTTTCAAGCTGCCCCTAACTGTGGCTGGTTCACCCACCCTGGGAGCAGGGCTGGCTGGCAGGATCGAGCCACGGTCCAGCACTTGCCTAAGCTTGCCTAAGCAGGCGCTTTAGTCCACTGAGCTAGCTCACCAGTGCTGGAGGACACTCTTCCTACTGTCTTTTCTATACATCAATCTCTTTAAGTATGTTCAGCTGTGTATATATGCTGTATACAGGGACATATGTACATGCACACACAGAACTGGTCTCATTTATACTTATTTATATTCATATTTAATCATTATTTTCTATGTAGATTCAGTCATTTTCAATGAATTACTGGGTAACAGAAATACCGAAAGAATACATTCTCCTCCCTCGCTCCAACCTCCCCTTTCCCCGTCTTCTCCCCCTTTGCTTCCTTTCCCCCAGCTCTTCCACCACTCTTTTGCTCTCCCTTGTCTCCCCGATCCTCCTTCTCTTCTCACCTTTTTCCTTTCCCTTCTCCTCCCAATTCTGTCCCTTTCCTCCTCTCCTCTCCCACTACCTTCTCACGTTTAGGCACTGGACTTTGTGTCAGCCAAGATTCTGGCACACAAAAAAGAAAAATAAGGGCTGGCGAGATAGCTCAGCGGACTAAGCGCCCGCTTAGGCAAGTGCAGGGACCAGGGTTAGATGTGCCGCACGGCAGGCTGCTCTGGCCCCGCCCCCGGGCGCCGCTCTGGCCCCGCCCCCAGGCACGCTGAGCCGGCCACGGAGTCCAGGAGTGGTGGCGCATGCCTGTAATCCCAGCATGGGGGAGGCTGCAAACAGGAGGATCACTATGAGTCCGAGCTGTATAGCGAGACCCTGTACCAAAATACATTAAAAAAAAAAAAAAAAAAAAAAAAAAAAAGAAAGAAAAACAGGATCCCTGATCGCCTTGAAGGTTAATTTCTCTCTGACTGTGCAAAATATAACTTACATATTTTTGTTATTTAAGAGTATTTGGAATACCCACCTCTGACAAAACTAAACAAAAAAGGGGGATATATATGAAGGACCATTTTGTATCTGTATATACAAAATAGGATAGATATACAGCTACTTTCTCTTAATTCAATGAGAAGAAAGATTTCTACTAATAGTGTTTGGACAGGATATCATGTTTGTGTCTTATACTATGAATAACTACTATGAAGACAACAACATGCAATGTATTAATTATTGAAACTGTCCTACTCATCAGTTTTGAAACTGTCTCATTGCTATTTCTCAATAAAATTATTTTTTTAAAAAACAAGAGTAAAAAAAAAAATAATAAAAAATAAAAAACAAGAGTATTTGTCAGGCATAGTTGAACCGCACCTGTAACACTGTCACTTAGGAAGCTGAGGCAGTAAGATCACCATGGGTTCAAGGCCAACCTGAACTGTACAGTGACGCCTTATCTCAAAAGACCCACAATAAAAGTGTAAATACAGTATCATTCTATTTATCTATTAAGCAGAATTACTCATCTACACTTGTTCTATACTGTTGCATTTATTTTTATTGCTACCATAAAAAATTATCATGCACAAACTTATATCTTACAGTGCTGAAGGTCAGAAGTCCAAAATAAGTTAGAGGCTAACTTAGTCCCAGGGCTAAAATCTGGGACAGGAATCTTGTCAAACCACCCAGTGAAGAAAGCTACATCAGGCTATCGCAGAGTTATGCTCCTCATTGGAGCAGAGATGAATGTTTTCCTTGCCTTTTCTAGCTTCTAGAGGTTTCCTGCTCTCCTCTACCAGGACCCCTTCCATGCTCAACCCTGGCCCCGCCAGTCTGTCTCCCCCACTCTGTGTCACTCCCATCATGCCAGCCTCTCCGCTTTACTCCTACGGAGCTTGGGGATCACAGTGCACCCCAGGAATCCAGACCATCTCCTTACCTGGAGGTGCGCAGATGGACAGCCATAACCTCATCTCCAACCTTAATGCTCCTCTGCCTTGTGACGATATATTCACAGCTTCTCCATACAGGACGAGCCCAGTTTGGGGACACTGCTGTGTCTACAACTGCTTAATAATAGCAAGAAGTGCCAACATGGGTAGAACTAAGGTTGAACATCCTTGACACATGGTGTGATTCTAAAGGGAAGACTTTTGGGGGCTCCTAAATCAGTTCATAGTTATTTGTTGCTTTTATTTTGCTATTTTTTGCTTCTTGCTTTCCAGGATTGAGAGAATGGGTACAATGCAAGACCAGGAATATTTGAATTTCAAAAAAAAAAAAAAAAGAAAAAGAAGTTAAATTAAAGAAAATGTCAACTGCCCATCCTATCATGGGAGAGAAGCTCTAGACAGTGACTAAATAGCAGTGCTTGGACTTGTGTGAGTCTAGGGATTAAAGGTGTCACAACCTGCACGGCCTCCCCGCCAAGGGACCGATCCAACTGGACAGTCAGGAATGCAGACGTGGTCAGCTCATCTCGTGTGGCGTTCGCTCCTTGCCTGGAGGAATGAATGTAAAATACATTAACTTGTGTTTAAGTTTTAAGACTTTCTTGGGCCAGACAAATAGCTCAGCAGATTAAAGTGCCTGCAAGCAGGTACAGGGTCCGCGGCTCAATCCCTGGGCCTGCCATGCCAGCCCTGCCCAATTGAGAGGACAACTGAGACTGGGCATGGTGGCATGCACCTGTAATCCCAGCTCTTGGGAGGCTGTAAACAGGTGGATCACTATGAGTCTGATCTAGTAGTGAGACCCTGAACACCCAATAGATTCTTCCCCAAAATACAAAAAAAAAGACTTTCTCATGCAGGCACTTCAAGAAAAGACTTAAGTTACTTGGAAAGATTAAGAAGAAACTTACCATTTTAATATTATGTAGTGATCTGTCAAAACTCTAGTTGGTTTCAAAATACCAACAGCGAGCCCTGAATCGTCCTGTGTGTTTTCCAGAACTGGACATGGTAGCCATTTTTATCTCCATTTTAACAAAACTGGGCCTCAGCCGCTTACATGACCTAGCCACATAACCACGTCTGCCCGACTCCAAGCTGGAGCTGCCCATCGCCACAGTGAGAACAATCCATCTGAGTGTGAGAACATAAGGCACCCTGTGGGGCTGTTACTAGAGCCATCTCATCTTGCTGCGAGTAGTAAATGAGCACAGAACCACGTGTCTGGAACCCAGAAAGATCAAAACAGTGATTCCAGAACTAAGCACCAGAGAAGCTCCCTCTTGCCTTATTGACAATTCTATGGAGACTAATTAATGAGGGCTAAACTGACAAGATCCAGAAAAGGATCAATAAATCAATTTGTCCAGCTCATTTGTAGCTCATCTTTGTTTTTGTTTTTGTTTTTTTTTAACCTTTTATTTATTGTACTTGTTTGATCAGGGTCTCGCTACACAGCTTGGACTCATAGTGATCCTCCTGTTTCAGCTTCCCCAGTGCTGGGATTACAGGTGTGCGCGACCAAACCCAGTTTCCATGGCCAGCACAGCGCGCCTGGGGTTCTGGGGCCAACATGGTATGAGGTACCAGGGACTGAATCCGGGTCCTTGCACCTGCCAGGCAGGTGCTTAGACTGCTGAGCTGTCTGTCCAGTCCTGCAGCTCCTCTTCACAGGGTGGCTTGTGGTTAAGTCTTTGCCTCACCTTCAGCCTTTGGGAGACCTGCTTATTTGGTGAGTTTGTGAGAAGAAAAAAACAATAATAAAACTAACTTTCCCTTAAATAACCTAAGCATTTGTTGGGCGTTGCTTATAGCTACCTTGCTCCTCTCTGACTACAAGTTAGTAACAAGAACATTAACATCTCCACTAACAATCATGACATAATACAGTCACTCTTGACTTCTGAATTTGAATCCTGAGTTTAGAAAAAGCAATCCACTTTGACATGATTTCTTCTTTGCAGATCTGTGGAGCTTTTTGTTCATTCAAAGTAAATTTTGGGTTAAAAGGGAATGAACTGCCATGTGTAGAGATTTATCATTGTCATTTTTCAATGTTTGTTCCTTTTTGATTACCTAATATTTCAGGGAAAATAACACCGAGGAAATTGTTTTTACGCTATCATTTCAGAACTGAAAAAGACACTTTTGTGAATTCAGGACTTGATTTATTTCTAGACTTTCATCTTTAACTCTGCATGTATTTCATTCTGATATTAAAATTAGCACATAAGCAGGAAAGTTGTTTAATTTGAAGGTCAGTCTTCAAGAGAACTACTTATTTTCTAAATGTCTCTTTACTATCTTTATGAAAGTTTCTGAAATTTCACAAACCATTCAAAATTAGTAAATGTATACATTTATATTTGTGATTTGTGATTTTAAATGGCAGAGACCTAAGACTCTCTGGTATCCTCTGACTCCCAACACTTCAATTGGAAAGAAAACTAAACGACTCCCCTTCCAGTGCCATCGCAAAGACAGGACCTATTGGTGCCTTCTCCTTGTCTTCTCTTCTCTTTGCAACATGGACCAAACCTGTTCTCCTGAGTTCCTTTCATGTACTCTACTTTCTCATATTCAGACAAAAAACCTAGGGATCACCCTTAACTTAGGGATCACCCTTAACTTCGCCTTTTTCTCCACTCCTCATGACCAGTCTCTCTGACGCAAGCTCTTAGCAGTCTGCACATCTGCCCCTTGCTGTCCCTCCCTGCTGTCATTACTGTACAGTGAAGTTGGGACCTAATGTCATTCAGTTGGATTCCTGCAACAAATTCCAAGGACCTCCTGCTTCTAATCTTGCCAGCCAATCCATCCTACCATGCCAGAAACAATTCCTCTGAAAGGAAAACTGATTATGTCACTCCTCTGTTCAAATTCATAGTGGCCCCAGTACCCTGAAAATAAACTTCATCCTTCCCAGCATGACTTAGTAAGCCATTCACAATTTGGCAGCATCTGATTTCCCTGGTTTTACTTTTTGCTGTGACCATATTTCCTTGCTTGTAGAGCGGAGCACACCTCTACCTCGGAGCACGTCCCTCTTTGCTGGGCTGACTACAGTAGCTCCTTTTCCACCCCGACTCAGGGCCACTTCCTGAAGCCTTCACTGATAGCCCTGGAGCACGCCAGGGCATCCATGGCTCCCACAGATCCCTCTCGTGCTTGTGTTCCAGAACGCTCTCATGACCCCCTTGCCTAGTTCTCTTTGGTGTGATCGGAGTGCTCTGAGCAACTGTGGTAAGAGCAGAGTAGACGGCTAAAAGCAATACCCAATAAATGCTTGGGTCACTTAAGGGAACTTTAGTTCTATTTTTGCTTTTTTCTCCTCACAAGCTCACCAAATAAGCAGGTCTCCCGAAGGTTAAGGGCGATGCAATTATATTTTTTATACTCAAATCAGAATTTAAGAGAAAGACCATGAAACAAAGTGAATGAAAAGTTGAGTGGGAATAACTAATTCATCTCTATAAATGCTGTGCTCTGCACAAACACTTTCTCATTAAAATTTTGGAAAATATAACAAAAGTGAGAGACCTACAGATTCATGTCTGAAATGTGGCTTCACCGGATACAACAGTTGTGATTTTGCCTGCAGTTACTTAGCCTCTGAGCCTCCCCACCATTTTTTATGTAAGAGAAAAAAATATATCCAATAACTAGCACTTTGCTGGCACAAACATGCTGCTTAAAACAAAAAATGGTTCCTAGACATCCTGACTGTAGGATGAAATAACCAAATGCTTTCATCCTGGACAGAATACAGGGAGGCGGTGGGGTCAGAAATGTGTCTAGGTAAGGGTTCTCATTTAGAGGAGTAGGCATGAGAATGCCAGGAATCCCATCACCACAGCCTGACTTATTTAGCATGGGGTAAGGGCATGGAGCTTGTGCGAACTGTCCGGGTTCTTCCCATGGTGTTTGAAAGCAATGCCCCAGGTGGTACCTGTGGATCATTATGACATCAAGGAGTTGCAGAATGCTCTTGCTGTGCTGTACCATCTTCCTTAGTGAGGCAAAGGTAGGGCTTGAAAGCCTACAATGTTCACAGGCTCCACCAGTGCCTCTGGTTGCACACCACCCTGAGTATCACTGAATATCCCCTCTCCTGCACTCAGCTGAACTTGAGGTACTGGGCAACACAAGCAGTACGACGGGGGACAGATGTGACTGTTCTGTAGTGTGAAATTCACAGAAAAGAAATGTCACCACATCAGCAGAGTCCTAGTGTCTCTTCCATGTTGTTACTGTCTCATAGGCAAAAATGAAGGTAGGCTCTAGCCCAACCTTGTATTTTCCACCCACACTTTCCCAGTTTAAGATCTTTTCTGAGTCTTATTTCCTGCTTTTCAATCTTCTCAGAAATATTCAATTTCACTTGACTTCACTTAGTACAGAGAATTTCACATCACTGCATGCTTTGTTTTACAGTCCCTGTGTCTGAAGTCGCCCAGCAGTGGGTGGGGAAGGCGTTTCAGTTACCACATTGGTCCTTCATCTCGAGCAGGGCCTCTGACCAGGAGCACCTCGCCTTCAGTTAACCACAGTCATCATGGAACTTCGTAGCTGGAGACACACTGGCAGATTTTCTCCATCTTTGTCCCCATCAATTTCATGGGGACAAAGACTAAAGATCCATTAATTTGAGGTCCCCAGTGTATGATTTCATGTGCACTGGAATCATAAACTATATTCCCTACAGGGTTTGCCTCCTTGTAACTTCATAACTTCTATCTGGGTGAACTTTGTGCATTTTAGCAATAAGAAAGTGTCCTGGGCCAGCCAGATAGCTCAGCAGATTAAAGTGCCCACTTAGGCAAACACAGGGACTGGGGTTCCATCCCTGGCATGCCTTGCTAGCTCTGCCCCCAGGGTGTGCTGAGACAGCAATTGAGACTGGGCATGGTGGTGTACACCTGTAATCCCAGAGCTTGGGAGGCTGAAAACAGGAGAAACACTATGAGTCTGATCTGTGTAGTGAGACCCTATACACCCTGTACTAAATACATAAGAAAAAAAAAAAAAAAAAGAAAGACAGTGTTCCGTGCTGGGCACTGGAGTGTTTGCCTGCACATGAGTGTTGTATGTTATGGGTCGGTGCCGAAAGAAACAACAAGAAGACCTGATGAATGTAGCTTTAGAGGTCTCACTGAGATTAGTCTCTAAGTGAGCCCAGAGCCTCAGAAACATCTCACACTTATTGAGGGCTAAAGGCAGGCTAAGGAATGTGTATAATTACTTAAATGAATATAAACTATTATCTCTGTTGCCTTTCACCATTTTTTTAACACTAGGTCCACACAATTGCTAGCCGATAACATCCCAAGCAAGGGATCAAAGAACAGGGTGCCTGAAAGAGAAGCTGTTATCTGCAGCCTTGATCCAGCTTGCCAGGATTTACAAGTGAGAAACAGCAGCTCTCCCTGGGTCCTGTCGATTGCTCCCTGCTATCTTGGGACATTAGGCTTTTGTCTCAAATCTATATTTCTATACATGAGATAAAATATTAAACCACACATCCAATAAGAGAACATTGCTATTTGGGACATTAAAGCCTGCTAGAGCTTGACTTGTGCCTTGGTGTCCCCACAGAGCCTGTAGTCATAGATGGGGCTTTTTTAGAGGTGGCTGGACCTAGAGCGTGATGCTGGGATGATTCCTGGTGCAACGCGAGCCTCAAGGGCGCCAGGGTAAAGGGTGTGCTTGCTGCCCGCCCTGAGCATCCTGGGTAAGAAGTCAGGGTTAGCACGAGCTGTGGTTTTCCCTTATTGCTCTTGCCGTCTTCTGTCCGCCATGCACTGTTCTCTTCTGCCAGGCCTCCTGCCTTGCATGAGGCTGATCATGGATTGAAACCTCTACAAACTATGAACCAAAAATCCTGACCCCCTTCAACTTTGGGTGTCAGGCATTTGGTCTCAGCAGCAAGAGACAAGTAAGACAAAATCTTTTTCCCAGAACAGAGAGGATTATTTTTATCTAACTACTCTTACCGGTGGACAGAAGCCATGAAGCAGTCGAAATCATGTTCAAAAGAAAACACTGTGTGCACGCCACACAAGCCTCACTGGGGCATCTACAGGTCATTCTACCCCACGCTGCAGAGAGCTTCACATTCAGCCATCATCTGGCCCCCGCGGAAACTGAGCTCTTGGGGAAGGTGTGGACTTACCATGTGTAGATGATCTTTCCTCGGGGATAAGTGTAAAGGATAATGTAGCAGTCGCCCCCGTAGAACTCTCCATAGGAGTTTGGGTCAATCTCAGTTCTACCATTGCTCTCTACACGCCAAATCTGAAGAGAAAAAAAAAAAAAAGATATGCAATATCAAACATTTTTAATCTAATATTTCTCAAACACTTTAAATATTTTTATTGTACATCTATTTTGTTAATGTATTTAGTGCAGGGTCTAGAGGGTCTCATTACAGATTGGACTTGTAGTGATCCTGTTTTCAGCCTCCCAAGCGCTGGAATTACAGACATGCACCACCATGCCCAATCTCAGTCACGTTCTCATTGTGCCCCCCAGGGGTGGGGCGGCACAGCATTTACATCTATTAAATAATCTTTAAATTATTTTCTAACCAGTTTATAAATCAAGCAAAAGACCAGATATGATGGCACACACCTGTAATCCCAGTACCACCCTGAGAAATTCAGCAACTTAGAGAACCACTATCTCAAAATAAAAGACAAAAACTGTAAAAGGGGAAGGGTTGGGGAAATAGCTCAGTGGCCTAAATGCCTGCTTGGCAAGTGCAAGGTCCCAAATTCAATCTCTGATACCCCATGCCATGCTGACACCATGCCAGCCCCAAAACTGGGTGTGGTGGTACACACCTATAATCCCAGCACTGGGAAGGCTGACACAGGAGGATCACTACATGTCCAAACTACATAGCAAGACCCTGTATCACAAAAGGAAAAAAGGGGGGGGGGGAGCACATGGGACAAAGTTCAGTTCTGGGTTTACTCCCCAATACTTTAAAAAAAAAAAAAAAAAAAAAAAAAGTCAAGCAAAGGGAAGTAAATTGACCAAATTGGTAATTTGTTGGTTTTTTTCATTACTTCCACTTCATTTGCTTCCTTTACAATATTTAGCTCAGTTCTGACCCTATTAATTAATAAATCTGTTATTTAATCAGTTAGTGAAAATAACATGACACTCTAGTGCAATAACAAGCTACATTATTCATCTCAGAAATGTACCCGCTTTTAACTTTATAATAAATATTTTTCATCAATTGTGAAACAACCTTTTTCTTCTTCCTTTTGAAGACATGAGACTATTACTTTCTGCAGCACAAGTTGGTAGACCATGACCAAGTGGTGACCTTGCTTCAGTGGACCATGCCCGCTATGGGACTCATTCTGAAAACTAAATCCCAATGGGACTGGGAGGTGGGACTTTGGAGGAATGACCGGGCTATGGAGGTGGGTCTGTTGGGAGGTGAGGCTGAGGGGGAAAAAGGGCAAATGCGACAGTTAAATTTTATTATAGTAAAAGACACATTCTCAAGAATATGAGCTAAGTGTGTTCACACCAGGGGTCAGGGCATTTTGAAGGAGCTTAATGTCTTTTACTGTACTGAATTTTTAAATTTAAATATCACCGTAAGTGATACCTTGGTTCATGAACTTACTTAGTTTACACTTTGGGGAACACGGCTGCATTTGTGTGCATGTGGGGAAGATGGGCATGATTGTGTTTATCCCCCAAAGCAGAGCTTGTGAACTGAAGCAAAATTCTGCTGAACACTTATGAAAGTGTTCATGACCTGAGCTATGACTAATTTCATGATTATCCCATGTGAAAAAGATTTGAGTGGAATCATCAGCAAACTTAATGTGACAGCTCTAAACGATCTGGTTTTTGTTTGTTTGTTTGTTTTGGGGTTTTTTTTGGGTTTTTGTTTTTTTTGTTTTGTTTTGTTTTGTTTTTGGCAGAACTGTGGATTGAACTCAGGCCCTTGCACTTGCCAGGGAAGCGCTTATTCCACTGAGCCATCTTCCCAGCCCCAACAATCTGGTTTTAATACACTCAGTTTGCCTTCCTGACTCCCTCCAATGTGTGGGGGAAGGAAAACCAGTGGCCCTTAGCTCCCTCAGGGCAATGCCTTCACTGGACAACCCTCACCACAGGCTCTCTGCCGGAAGAGGGTTCTGGACCAGGAGCAAGATGGCTCCTTCCCACAACAGGCCTCCTAAAGTGGTAGTTAGGCAGCCCTGAACAAACCCCCTGTCTTCTCGGCCTCTCAACCTACAAATTTGTGAAGTGAGCAGTGAAAATCAGACCAAAAGCATCTCTTTCAGCCTTAGCTTCTACAACTGGCACACAGTCCTAGGCCATCTTTATTACCATCTTTATTACTACATAAAATTTACATTTCAAAACTTCTGCAGTTTCCTGAAATTATATTACCAAACAGCATGGCATAAAAAGGCTTGATCAAAACAAACAAAAGCAGGTGCATGCACATAAATACCTCCACTTTGCCGGAGCCATCATCCACCATGTTGTGCTGGGCTGCCATCTGCGGAGAACTGTGTAACTTTGAAGCATCGAATGGAATTTGTTTTATTTGAGCCACTTTCTCTGTGACATAAACCTTCCCAAAGCCATCACTCTGATCTTTATCTTTCCAGTCCTTAAAAAACTGTTTGAAGATTGGTGTCTCACCTCCTTCGGGAAGAACCTGAATCTGAAATTTAAAACAATAATAACAAGAAAATAAGGAATTGAAGAGAAAATATTCTCATAATGGAGAATGAATTAAAGAAATGAAATACTGTGCTGGCTTCTGTGATTACAGATGTACAATTAGAACCCTATGAAGCTAAAATAGCCCAACACTGCTTTTCCTCAAAACCAACGTCACTAACTGCCACCAGATGTGAATGCTTGAAATAAGAAGAAACTTCTTCCACATGTGTCTTCCCGTTCATAAGAGATTTGTGACCTGGAAGAAATTATCTCACAGTGAGTCGTGACACAAGGATGGAAGGCAGAGATAAGGCGGAGAAGTTCAGACAGGAAAAAGAGGAGCTGACCAATGTCAAGATGATCTCTGGGAAGACAAGTACTATCTTGGTGCCAGCCCAAGGCCTTACTAAGAGGATGAGCGCTCCTGCTTTGATCAACCGCGGGTGATTATCAAGAGTTAAAGCCTGTGGAGGAAGTGAGCGGGCTCTTTCTTATCATGTAGCCCTAATGAATCTGACCTCAAGTTCCTGCAAAACCTCCCCACCTCCGCCCGCCTGCAAGGCACTAGGGTCCTGCCCAACACGAGGTTGCATGCGCTCACGGGGAGCTGACTACACACACACACACACACACACACACACACACACACACACACGCACGCACGCTTTTCACTGGGAAGAAAGCTCTTTCCTGAGTTTTAGAGGGGTGTCATCATCGCCATTTTTTCACTTTTTTTTCCCTAGCCAATTCATTTTCCCACATACTTGAGTATTGGTGGCATAATTCATTTGCTGTAGAAATTCTTCAGCTGTCTTCATTGCAGCCCTCCTCTCCTCAGGATTAGCATCTTTACCTAATGTAAAAAACGAAAGGAAAGACAGACAAGATGTCAGACAGAGAAGTTTTGTTTTGTTTTAAGTATTAGGAATCAAACTTGCAACCTCATACTTGCCAGGCAGGCACTGTGCCACTGAGCTATACCCCCAGCCCAGAAAGAATTTATATGATTAAGAAATACTTGCATACTAAAAATAAACTTGATTTAAATAAAGCAATGTGAAAATGGAAAGTATTTCCTAGAATATTAAAAATATTTCATCATAGTAATAAACAGTAATGATAAGATGCTTTTTCTGTTGCCCAAATGTTTTCTTTCATTGCTTTACTCCCAGCTAAATGGCATTAGTAGGGCGAATATGGCTGCCCTTCAGGGGCGATGTTTACAGATCATATTTCCAAAGAGATTTTTTAAACATGTACTTTTATCCTCCCAAGGAATTTTACCTTTCCAAACAAAAATTTTTTTTGCAGCACCATGATCCAAAATAAAGCATTCTTCAGAAAGCAGCACTGCCATGGAGAAGGGGTTTTCTTCAGCCACCAGAGTCACCTGCATGGAGCCACTTGCATCTGAAACCTAACAGAAAGCTGTGAGCACCACGGACTCACTGGGCAGGACGCGAGCCTTCTAACATTAACCACCGTGATGGCCACGCAGGTCTCTAAACCAAACCAAACTGACCCGCACCCAGGAAGAGCATGAACTGTACGTCACGCACACAGTAATGCCACAGCTCACGAGCGCTTCTGTTTCCAATCTGCCTGGCAAACAGAAGTGTGGGCACAATTTTGCTACTGATCACAAACTCCCCATCGGCTGACAAGACCACGGCCATCTTCCCTGCAGAAACAATAATGTGGCTGTCTTTGCAAACATTGTGAAATGAATTGTCTGTGAACTGAGGGAGCACTGCATTATATGTCAAGAAAGCGTCTTTAGGAGTAAAAGAGGTACTAAGGAAAAGGTTTACTACTGAGATGAGAACATTGGAAAACAATGACAATAAAAACAACAGCAAAGATTTACTGCTCAGATGCAGTAAGCACCATGTGGTCCCTTTTAAACTCTAGACCAATCTTTTCAAGTAAATAATGGTCTTCCACCCACTGGACACATGGAAAGCTGAAGTTTACAGAACAGTCATTAGGGGCAAAGAGAGGCTACTAACTGAGAGCACCATGCATGCAAGGGCACTGGTCTTGTCTGGGCTATGCTAACAGATTTTTCTCAGTGCAGGTCCTGTAACTTTGTGGTAATCAGCATCAATGAATTTCTTCTTTCATATTTGGAAGCAGGACTTTTTAAATCCGCTAGTGGCCTTTCAAGGTTGTAGGTGGGGGCTGGTGAGATGGCTCAGTGGTCTAAAGCACCTACTTAGAACAAGCTTAGCAAAGCATAGGGACCACAATTCAATCCCCCAGCACCACATGCCAGCCAGCTCTGCCCCCTGGTGGGCTGAGCTGGCCACACACACACACACACACACACACACACACAAATAAAT